CCGGTGTCAGCACACGCCCTGCAGGGGACAGCACCACTTCCAGCCTCAGGTCACATGGCTGCAGGAAAATGCCACTGGCCGAGTTCTGCCCCAGAGGGGAGGACAGTGGTGGGGGCAGGGGTTAGCGCTGCCCCTCTTGTGGGCTGATGAGGATCCTGCCTCAGACTCAGGGAGAAGCCACCAGGACTCATTGTCCTCCTCGGTAGCTCAATGTGGAGCCGGAGTCTCACCAAGTTTATTTTATAAACCCCTCTGCCGGCCACTCCCTTTAGCCTGTGCACACAGAGCAGCTCTCTGTGGTATTTATCATGAGTCCTGGGAGCAGCACGCAGGCTCCATCACCAGGAATTAGATCTGGGTCCCTGGCGTGTGGGCATTAGGCCCTGCCTGGTCCCCACAGAATATTCATTGGCGGTCCTGCAGCCCTGCCTTTTCCTCTACTCTGTGACCCTGTGAAGGTCCCCATGGGAGGGAGAGAACAGTGGACTGAACATGGGGGTCCCCTCCCTGCACGTCCCTCTACCCCAGGCCTAGGGGGGCAGTGCTGCTCTGCGTCTGTCTGGCCATGTGTCTCCTGGGCGCTGGGCTGTGGGGTTGGAGAGGCAGCCCCTTGGGGGTGGGGGCACAGACTCTGAGACCAAAGGGGAGCTGGGGCTGGGTCTTCTGGCTCAGCAGACTCCAGGCCGGGGGATGGGACATGGGGTGTTTCCCTGAGCATCATCTGCTTTATCAAGGACAGAAGGTGCCTGGGGGATTATTGTTGGGAGCAGTGAAATTATGACTGAAAGGACCTGACCCACAGAGGGTCCCCGTACATTATAATCACCCCCTGGGACCCATGAAGGAGTATTGAATTCAGCACATTTGTGATCTCCACGAAATTCAAATTTTCTCTTGAAGTTCTTCTTTTTTTGATTCCCTTAATTTGATCTTGGTGTCATTTATTATACTTAGAAATTTCCTAGGCTGACTTATTTGTAAGTTCTCCTTAATTGTTTTGCCACGCGGGAATTCCACATGTTATGGTTGGAAATTCTGAACACTATTTCATGTCGAGACTGAGTTTAGTGAGGTGACAAACTTGCAATTCTCTAATCCTACTGAAGTTAAAAACCTGGATAATCAAAACCCACAGAAGTAATGAAGATGTCTTTTCCTCAAGGTCAGCACGTTACTGCAAGTCGAATATCCCGTAGACTCTAAGAATGACCCTCAGGGACACTCAGGACCTCTGGAGGCTCCTCTCTCCTGGGCCTGTGGGGTTCCTAAGACCAGGAACCACCCACAGAGTGGGGAGGGAGGGGCTGACAAGCTCCTGAGGGCCAATCACTCAGGGGGAGGAGAAGCCACCTCAGGTTATGGCCCAGGTGTGACTCACGCTCTTTGCTCCACCAGCAGCTTCACCTCGGGGTCCTGGTGCTTGTTCCTACCGCTGAAAATGTTCCAGATTTTCCTGATGTTGTTACTGGTCAACCGCTGTGGCCTCTGGAAGATGAAATGGAGGGTTGGTCACCAGGGCGGGAGATTCACCACCAAAAGAGGGAGAAGAGACAGAAACCTGCCTTCAGTGACCTGCCTTTAGTGAGCCTATTAAGGCAGCTTCCTGCTCATAAGCTCATAGAGTTGACTGATTTTGTCGTCCTTGTCCTTCAAAGCTCATTTTGTTTTGCTTTGTTTTATTTATTTTCCAACTTTATTGAGACATACTTGGCATATTAAGTTTAAGGTATACGATATGATGATTTGATACATGTATATATTGTGAAAGAATTACTCCAATAAGGCTAGTTAACACAGCTATCACCCCACATAACCACAATTTGTGTGTATGTTTGTTGAGAACATTTAAGATTTACTCTCTTAACAACTAGCAAGTGTATAATGCAGTAGTATTACCATGATAAATAGTTATCATGATAAATACTAGACACAAAATTTACTCATAACTGGAAGCTCATAATCTTTGAGCAATATCTCCCTCCCCA